ACTTCCTCTCTATCACTGAGATGCAGGCTGCAGCAGTCTCACAACGGAACCAATGCCACCCTTGGGTAACCGGCGTTCTTAGCTGTTGTACAAAAGATGTTAGGCCAGGGTTAGAGTGACCGCTTGGATATCTCACTTTGCACTGACTGACATGTTCTTCCAAAGACCAAGATATTCACAGAGTTTGATAAACTTTTTCTTGGCACTGGATTCCAGTAAGATGCTTTTGAACTGTGTATGGGAACATATTTAGGGGAAAGGTACAGAGAATTAAAATTAAATGTAAAGTGCAACACATTCTTTATATTATACATTCATATATAATTGAGTATAAATAAATGCATTTCAGAGAATGCATGGTGTTCTGTGGAATACATTATTTACAAAATATTTAATGTAATATATAAGTAAAATAGAAAGCATAGCACATGTTGAGCTCTACAGAAATACTTGATTGACTCTATACATTCCCTCAGGAATATAGAGACACTTGTATATATATCAATTGGCTAAAGAATGTTTGCTGAGGGGCAGCTAGGTGGTGCAGTGGATAGAGCACCGGCCCTGGAGTCAGGAGGACCTGAGTTCAAATCAGACACTTAACATTCACCAGCTGTGTGACTCTGGGCTAGTCACTTAACCCCATTGCCTAAGAAAACAAAAATGCTTGCTGAGTCACAGAAAAGACTCTTAGATCTCCTGATAAATCAACTTCAGGCTTATAGTATCCTCAGAGAATCATGAAATATTGGAACTGGAAGGCACTTTAGAAGTCATCCACTCCAGAATATTCATTTTACAAATGGGGAAACTGAGATCCAGAGAGGGGAAGAAACTTGGTCTAGTTAGTGGCAGAGCTGGGATGAGAACCATGGTTTCCTGTCTCTCAGCCTATGTTCTTCAACCAGGTAGAATGAGTATACTTTGCACATATAATTTCCAATTCTAATTCTACTTTTTTCACCACCATGAACATCTCTAGAGGACACCCTTCCACATTATCCCTTTGCATAAATATCTAACCACATATGGTTACATATCTATACATTTAAATCCATATGTGAGTGTCTATAATGTCTATGGTATAAGCTTGGAGTACAAAGTCTTTGACAGTGGTCCAGTTCTCATCACCTTACCCCCAACCCCTCTCTGGATTTTGCTTCTGCTCTAAGCAACTAGGGCACACTGTCAAACTTCTGAAAGTTGCATAAATGATGTCTTTGGAACCAGACAGACCTAGGCAAGTAACTAAAGGGCCTTAATCCTTTTTTTTTTTTTTGAAAGGGAATGCTCTATGTCATTTACCCTCTGACTGCCCCCTTTCTCCTCTAAAGGTTGTCAGCTCAGACCAGCTTAGAACTTTCTATATAAAACTTCAGTTTGATGTAGCACAGTGCTGGACACATAGTAGGTACTTAATAAATGCCTACTGACTTGCTGACTTGGCTGCAAACTAGATGCCACTAGATGTCTTTGGGTAGAACTGGAACATAGTATGACTGCAATGGGAGTAGAGTGGGGGAGGAGGTGTGAGTGTTCTGAAAAGGAATGGCACCACAAAAGAGGCCCCTGGTTTTGGGGAACCAGCTGTGGAATTCTATCTCCCACCTAGGTCTGGCGCCAGGAAGTGCTAGGACAGGTTTAAGGTGTCAGAGTGTCAGTGAGAATGGGCAGTGGTTGGGGCGATGAGTGAGTACGGACGTCTGAACTAAGTCAGGATAAGCCCCAGAGGCACAGCTGGCTTGAGAAGCCTGAGACTCAACCTCTCTTCTCCCCAGATCATTTGATGGAGGAGGAAATGATAGCCCTGGATCCTGGGCCAAGGGATTCTTAGCCTTTTAGCCATTTCTAAAGTGGCTTGGAAAGTCACCTGGAGCAGTCTGTGTAAAATTCTCTATCTTTATCTCCATTTTTACCTCTTTCTCTATATGTCTCTGTGTCTCAGTGAGGGGGATACAGGGGAGGGGTGAGGGGAAGTGGTGTTTTCCATTGGCCTCAGAGAGAAAGGAAAAAGCATAAATTTTCCTCCCTCTACATCTTCTTCCATCCCACCCCTCCAACCCCTCAAACTTCTCCAAATCAGGTTAGTGACCATTTTTTCCCTCCTACTCCAGCTAGAAAAGAACTTTTAAGGCTGAGATCTCAACAAAAGAAAGCAGCACATGGGAGCAGCTCAGTGGTCCTTTTCCCTACTGCCCCAGACTTAGAGTTTGAGGGAGCAAATCATTACCATTCACTGTCATGACTCTCTGAAGGATGAGTTATGAATGAGGTGGTATCCGTGCATTGGGAGTATGGGGAGAGCTGGGAAAGCTGTCTTTAGATCCCTTGGATTCTGTTGGTCAAATATATTCATAATATGGTTGCCTGTTTACCCCAATTGAGGGCTTGTCTTTCTACTACTAGCCCTCAGCTGGAACACAATGAAAGTACTAATGGTTATTGCTCCAAGTGGCATGGCTCAGACATGGTTTAGACACAGTCCTGAGGCTATGCTCAGTCTTGGGGCCTAAAACCAGAGTTAGAGACATGGTCTAAGTGCACTCAAGCTCTCTTTGTACTCCATGCCAACGTCTCTCTAGAGTTTTTTCTCCCAGTGATTCAACAACCCTAAACGGAATAAATGACTAGAAGGGGTTCCAGATGGAAGAAACTATACACTACAGGAAGGTTTTGTCTGGTGAAAATGAGTAATGTTCTGTGGTTCTGTGTGTCTTTCAGCTTCCTTCCCCACATATTTGTGTTTTTTCCCCTCCATCCTTCCCTCTCTTCCTTCCTTCCTTCCTTCCTTCCTTCCTTCCTTCCTTCCTTCCTTCCTCTCTTTCTTTCTTTCTTTCTTTCTTTCTTTCTTTCTTTCTTTCTTTCTTTCTTTCTTTCTTTCTTTCTTTCTTTCTTTCCTTCCTTTCTTCCTTCCTTCCACAAATCTATCAAGTTCCACTATGCACGCCTCTTCTGGCTTTTCTTTTTCTTGAGGACAGCACATGCTGGTAACCATTTCCTCAATCGGTATATTTGAGGGCATTGTTAGCTCTTAAAAAATCAGAGCACTCAATGCATTCAGCCTGTTATAGTAAGGGGAAAGGGATGAAAAGAAGACTCTTTAATTTCCCTTCTTGTTACTGAAGAACTCCAACTTTGGGAAGTTCATGACAGGTGACTAAAAACTCCAGAGAGAAACAACAATCTGAAAGTCCAGAATGGTACAACATATGCAGCTAGAATGGAACACTTATCCTAGAATTAATGCTCGAAAGTCAGTGAAGAACAACCAACACGCCAGTCGGCCCAGCCTCCAAATGACTTCCTCTTAGTTCTTTGATTGTGGGGCTAACTTGCCTTAAATAACATATCTGTGACTGTTCATTTTTCACATTCAGTTAAGCCTAGATTGAACAGGGCTACATGTTTCTAAGACACAGGTACACTACAAGCTTTAATCAATGTGTCAGAATGCCATGACACCAACACTGCATCATGGAAGAAATCCTGCAAAGCTCATAAGTATTATTTTAAAAAAAATCTACTGTCTGATAATCACTCCAAATACCTGCCTCTTTTCAAACTTAGTATTTCCTAAAACAATTTTTAAAGGACAATAATATGAGTGGAGGTGACATGCCATGAATTATATTTTTCAACTACTTTAGGCTAGTACATATGACAGATGAAAAACTTCACTTATTCTGGATATGGTGAAAGAATTCTCATCTATTGAAATAATTCATTTCTTCCTCTAAAATTCATGAGATACACATGTGCTTCTATATGCTTGTTAACTTCAGGAAGTTCAGTTTTTTTTTTTTTAAAAAAACAACAACAACAAAGTGAAAAGCAATGATTTGCAATGGTGAATCAGTTGATAAGATTTCATTACATTAAAGCAGATACATCATAACAAGTGGAGTAACTTGTACTTACTGATAGGCGTTAGTCCATGCTTCACCGATTCTTGGATGCCATCAGTGTCAGAACTAGAAGACATTCTTACGTATGCTGATAGGTCGCTGTTGGACTTAAAGCGTATACCATTGAGGAAGGCAAAGGTGAAGCTTGTCAAATTTTCTGGCCTCGGGGAAGATACCACAGACTACAGTAACCTTCAGTGAAGGTTAACAACAACAACAACAACAAAAAAACCCAACACACACACACACACACACACACATACACACACACATACATACACATACAAAAAAATGTCCAAGAATTCAGAAAATAACAAGCAGGTCTTTTGCTGGACTCTGTACTTTTTTCCAACATTAGTGACCTGCTGTAAACCGTGTATCCAGTTTCACGATGGTCTCTAATCAGAGGAATTGAAACTTATGATAGGCTTGGCCCAATCACGTGACTTTGTGCAGGTTGATAAGAGGGCCCTGTTATAAAGTGACAGCAGTAGAGATAAGAACTCCTGGCAGATAAAGGCACAGAAATGATTAACTCAGAAGGGGAGAGGTGCTATTCAGCAGAGAGTGAAAAGTTGTAAAACTGTGGGGTCAGAGGATCACACTTAGTGGACGAGACTCCATCCCAACTTAAATCTAGTAACTATAAATTTAGGCTTGTGACATGGCCCCTGGATGTCATCACTTCTTTGCATAGAGTAGAGGCGACACGACTGTGGTGTCTTCTGCAAATACACTCCAGATGATAACACTGGCTGACATTAATTTCTTTAGAGATGACTGTGAATATGATTGACATTTTGAATCACTGGGAGTAAGATTTGTGAGTCTATGGTTATTTATTTATTCAGTTTTGGCTGACCAGACCTTTTTTATTGCACCTACTCATTAGACAGAGGGCTAACCCTACCTTGTTTGTAAGTTGGTCAATTGGTTAAGAGGGCAACCTATTTTTCTCCTCAATAAAGTAAAACTTTTACTTTGAGGTTAAGTATTGCTATGCTGGGAAAATCACGTATGTTGAATACCTCTTACACAATTTAAAAAATTGTTTTTCCTGGCTGGGATCATTGAACAATCAGCTTGGTGGCTTTTTACTGAGCGAAATCACTGAGAGAGTATTACTAAAAGAACCAACAGTGGTTTTTACTTCTCTATTTTCCCCAAATCTGGGTTTTAGATGTGCATTGAATAGCTATGCTGTTCCTCAAAATCATAAATCTGAATTGTCATTAAAGAAATGAATGCCTTTTCCAAAATTATGGTGTAATTAGTAGTTTCTCAGAGGTGGACAAAACTGTGGAAATGATCTTATCTAACCTTCTTATTTTGCAGATGAGGGAGGGGGCTGAGGCCTTTGGAAGTGTATTGACTCACCTAAGATCACAGAGCTAGCATTAGTAATTCACATTGATGTACATCCAGCTCCCAGCCTAGAACTTTTTCAAACGCACCAAGTTACCTCTTGGGAGGTAGCAGTAGCAGATCCCTAGTCACACAAAGCATTGTCCAGTTGGGCTATTTATACTCTTCCTTTGCTCATACTGTTCACAGGACGAAGAAGGGGTATCTTCTAACCTATAGTCATCTATTCCCATTAGCAGATACCTAGTTTGCTATTGTGACCACACTTGTTAACAAAAACTTTTCTGATAAAAAAGATCCTGGGCCTAGATAATGATGGGAAAACGGTAACTTCAGCAGCTTAAATTTCAGAGAGATCGAGTCCCCTAGAATGACTTCCAAAGAATCTTGAGCTTTGAGATATGATTTAGCCCTGCACCCTCTCCAGATGTTGGCTGATCTGGTAAGTAAGTCTCAAATTCAGATACTTTATTGTACAAAGATTGCTTCTTGTCATGGTGTCCAAGACAACCAATGACTCCTTGATATTCAGGTGAAGGATGTAGAGGCACTTTTTTGGAGCTCACAGTCTATTCCACTACTCACTGAGCTTACTTGTCTGTGAAAGTGAGGGATCCCTCTTATCCTCCTCTGAGGTACTGGCAGCTCTTGAATGGTCAGCGGACCCTACAAGGTCAAGACAAGTCAACAAGCATTTATTAAGCACTTACTATGCTCCAAGAACTGTGCTAAACACTAGGAATACAGAGAAAGTAAAAACAAAAAACCCAGAAAACCAACACATTCCCTACACTCAAAGAGTTCAGAGTCAGATTGGGGAAACCATATGAAAATAATTATGTAAAAACAAGATATATATACAGGATAAATGGAGATAATCAACAGAGGAATGACACAGGCATTAAGGGGGGTTGGGAAAGATTTCTTGTAGAAGGTGGGTCCCCATTTGTTATGGCCAATGGTTTCACACTTTGTCTTTTTATCCCATATTTCATCAGGCAGTCTGAAGAAATTTTGGGTGCTCCTTAAAGCATGCTATTACCCATCTTTATAAATGATTGTGCAGAGGCATAAAAAGCAAAAGTAGCCTGGGAAATGATCCCATGTGCCTTAAGTAAGACACGAGAACTGTTGAGTTCCTCCTCATCCCACCTTTCGAGCTACTGTCTACCAGAGGCTTTAGGCCTTCATTAGAACACATGGGACTGGATATTATCTAGTGAGATAATATTTGTAAAATGCTTTGAAAACCCGAGAGCATTATATAAATGCTTGTTGTTATTATGAATTGTTTTTCAGTTGTGTTTGTCTCTTCATGACCCCATGTGAGGTTTTCTTGGGGGCAGAGATACTGGAATGGCTTGCTATTTCCTTATCCAGATCATTTTACAGATGAGGAAACTGAGGCAAACAGGTTTAAGTAACTTGCCTAGGGTCACACAGCTAGTAAATGTCTAAGGCTGGATTTGAACTCTTGAAGATGAGTCTTTCTGGTCCCAAACCCAGTGATCTAGCCACTGCATCACTTAGTTGCCCTATATAAATATTAGTTAGCATCATTACCATCATCAAAATCATCATCATTATTGACATTACAAAATAAATATCTTTACATCATGGAGAGTGGGATTTTCTGGCATAAAGACATATGTATATATAAAAAGTACTACTTTAGGGGCAGCTAGGTGGCTTAGTGGATAGAGCTCCAGCCTTGGAGTCAGGAGGACCTGAGTTCAAATCTGGCCTCAGACATTTGACACTTACTAGCTGTGTGACCCTGGGCAAGTCATTTAACCCCGATTGACTCACCAAAAAAAGAACTACTTTAAAATGTCCTTCTCCTGAATATTATGCCCTAATTCACTATCTATGTTATAATCCCTGGTCCTGGCCATGTTGACCATAGAACCACACAGTAAATCAGAGGACTAGAAAATATATCCCAGAAATCAGGTGTCAGGAGTCATAAATGGTTGCCAGTTTTTAACTTTAGAGAATCCAGGGCACATTTTAAGTGAGCGAGACTAGAGATAGGATGACATGACCTATATCACACCTGGCTGGCTCTTAATGCACAGGAATGACAATTCTCTGCCCCTCCTCCCCCACGACCATGTCCTGCCTGCCCCCCACCCCTGGAGCCCTGGAAAACCTGTTATGTCACCACTCACCTAGTGCAGTATTTGAGTGGGCTGTTCACCTTTTTGCCTTGTTCAAGTTGTGAAGATGTCAGTCTGGGCATCCCCTAGCTGGCTATCAGATGTTTAGCTTCTTACAGTGATTTGCTTTTATCACAATAAGACCCTTCTAGACAAATAAGACCCTTTAAATCATTGGCAGGATTCTTCACACTGAAGTATGGGACAATCCTATGTGCACGTTCAGTACATATGACCTTCCACAGTTTCATTGAATGGAAGATGCTTCTGAAGCCATAAAGGTCACTGCTTAGGAAGGCCGCGCTTAGTTAGAAAATCTGACACTACCTTCCTCAATTTGTTAATGAGGACAATATAGTGTAGAACAAAGAGCCATCATGACCTCATCAAGAACAAGTTACATCAGACTGAGTTCATTTCTTTTTTTGACACGGTTACTAAATTAGCAGATGAAGTGAATGGGGTGGATATAGTTTATTTGAATTTTAGCAAAGCTTTTGATAAAGTATCTTTTACAATTTTCTTTTGGAGAAGATGGAGAGATATGGATTAGACAACAATATAGCCAGTGGATTCAGAGTTGGTTGGATAGGTGGACTCAAAGAGCAGTTGTTAATTGTTCCATGTCAGTCTACCAGGAGGTCTTCAGGGCAGTGTCCCAAGGATCAGTACTTGCCTTGTGCTACTTACCATTTTTTTCAATGACTTAGATCAAGGTATAGATGGTATGCTCATAAGATTTGCAATGTCACAAATCTGGGAGGGATAGTTACTGCATGGGAGGATAGAGGAAGGATCGAAAAAAATTTTCTTTTTAACAAACTAGAGTACCTAATAAGATGAAATTCAAGAAGGATAAATGTAAAAATTTTATACTTGGTTATAAAATATCAACTATACAAATGTAAGATGAGGGAAGAACATTAATAATATGGAGAATGTTCAAAGGATGACCAGGATGATGAAGGACCTTGAGTTCATGATGTGTGAGGACTGGATGAAAGAATTGGGCATGTTTATTGTGGAGGAAAGGCTTAAGGGGGACAAATGCCTGAAGGATTGTCATTTGGGGAGGGATTAGACTTGTTCTGTTTGTCCTAAAAAGGCAGAATTAGGGGTGGAAGTTGCCAAGTTGCCAATTGAGATTTGATGCCGGGAAGACAAATGAAAAAACTTCCAAATAATTTCTGCTGTCCAAAAGTGGAATGGGCTGCTTCAGGAGATGGTGGGTTCCCCCTCCTTGGAGGTCCTTAAGCAAACTCTAGGTAATACCTTGGGATATACTTGAGTAAGCTATAGTGGAGGTTCCTTCATGTATGTGTTAAGTTAGATAGCTATTAATGCTCCTTCTAACTCAAATTCTGTGATTCTGTAACATTAGCTTAGGAGTCAGGGAACCTAGACTATAGTCCTAACTCTTTCACCAACTTTCTTTGTGACTTTGGACAAGTCACTTAAACCCTCTGAGACTTGGGTTTCCCTTTTACAAAATGAAAGGATATGATTTCATGACCCCTCTGGCCCCTTCCAGTTCTAGAGTGCTAAGGACTTCCTCCATTATATTCATTATATGTGTATTATATATAGAGAGAGATATAGATATATATTATATATAATACATACACATATATATTAGAGAGAGAAAAAGGAGAGACAAGCACAAACACACAGAAAACATTTAAGAGGAGTGGGACAGTCAAGAAAATCAGATGTGACAAGGATGTAAATAAATGCAATATAAGGTAAGTTGTGACAAGGAGCCACGGAGACATCTAGAGATCTAGTCAGTGTGTAATAGAAAAATCTGAGAC